ATTTTTATTGTGTTTCATCTTTGGCAACTTTACTTATTTTTTAACGCGGTAATTAATCTTTATTCATCAAATCAATTGAAAAAAAAATCGAATTTTACGTGCATATATACACATGCATACATATATACATATCTATATATATATTTATATATATCCTTTTATTTAGTATATATTGTATATTTTATTTCTAAATTTAGTCACTAACTAGATTATACAAGTTTTTTCTTTTTTAAAGAAATTCATTTCAATAATCGATGTCAATCTTTAATTTTTTTTTTTTTTTTAGATTAAAAATTTAAAAAGAATTCCTTAGAAAAAAATTTACTAACTTTATTAAAAGAATTTCTTGATTAAAAACGGGCTTTTACTTTTTTGAATGAACTTATTAAAATTTATTAGTCTCGTTACATTATAATAAATATATATATATATTGTTACAATTACAAAATTATCTAATTTTATCACCAGAAAATTAGTACATACTTATATGTATGTACGTACGTACGTAGCTAATAAAAAAAATTATCTAATACGCATGTACGTACGTACATACATACGTCCATACATGCGCTTTTTACTATTATTACAAGATGTGAGTACAAATTACATACCAATACGGTTAAACAATTAAATTCGGGTATTATTTATTCTTAAAAAATTATGTATCGCAAAAAAATTAGTCATCGATAACGAACTTTGGACTTATGGGGATTTTTATATCCAAATCAATGTCATTTAATCTATCAAGGTCATCTGCGTGATTATTTGATTTGCTTACTTTATTTAATCAAATTAATCATATATATATATATATAGAAAAAACAAAATGGTGAAATTTTGTTTAAAATGATACGTACATAAAAATTGATTGAAAAAAAACCAATACATACAATGTTCCTTTAGACCTTTTCCAAAATTTCTAAAAACAAGAATTCCATATATGTACGTCCCCTAGATCAATTAGATAATTTATAATTTATTATAATTTAGATAATTTTTTTAAATAATTAAAAACATAAAACAAGTAAAAAAAGATTGAATTACTAACAATATATATTGCAAGCCAAAATAATGTTGACGGAATGACTATATAAAACCAATGATATTAATTACAATAGATTAGATTTAAATCATTAAATTAATTAATTAATTAGATTAATTCATTAGCGTTAAATGTGTAGATATTCAGATGGTTAGATTAATTATTGCTATTACATACCAGCAAGGATTAAATAGTCCCATTGAGTAAACTCGTATTCAAAATTTAAAACCGAGTTGGAAATATTTGTAACCAAATCAATCATAACAGCAACTATAACATATAACCACAATATTGCAAATATTATCATTCCGGATCTCCATTCAGAATGTACCTATTATGTATTGTAAATATTTTGATTAATATTGATTAACCTTATCGGAAATTAAACTTTTGATGAAAGGGATTCATTTAATAATAATAATATAATAATAATAATATAATAATAATAATATAATAATAATAATATAATAATAATAATATAATAATAATAATATAATAATAATAATAATGATGATGATATTTACAGATTTATATGCCAATATTACAAGGAAGAAATTTACAATGGATGCAATAACGTGAATTATAGTTAGAGCAGTTGATTCTTCTTTAAAATTTTGATATACGTAATTTCCGAGGTGAATATATGGAACAATAAATGAGAATAGGTAAAGAAGTATAGTGAAGATATTCATTTTTAGAAATATCATAAAGATCAAATATTTCTTATATGAATCTAAGATATATAAATAAATAAATAAATATATATATATAAGAAAAGTTGTTAATAAGTATAATAATATAAAATAATTAAAGTATCATTTTTATTATAATTTTTATTATACCTCTCATCTTTACATCACCGCCTATTTTTTTATAGATATTCCATCCAAATTGCGAATAGAGCATAAGCGAAAACCAGGTCGAGATCGCAGTGAGTAATAAAAGTATACAAAGAAATGGAATGTCATTTGTCCAAAATGAAGGATCAAAATCTGTTTTCCCTACACATGCTTTAATACTATGTAATTGATTTAAAGGGAATTTCAACTCTAGGCCTTGGACCTTTGATATAAAGATAAAATTAATATTTGTTTGTTTTAAAAGAACTAGTATAGAGTAGAGAACTGATAGAAAAATGATAAAAAAAATGATAGAAAACTGGTAGAGAATGATGAACAAACTTACAAGACCAAAGAAAAGCCAGCCGAAATTAAAAAAACATATGGTCGCGACTTGAATGGAGTGTTCGTGAAATATCTAAAAAATTTAACCAAAATAGATCAATACTATTCCCTTTAAAAATATTCCCTTTTAAAATATCACTTAAACATTTTTAAATTGATTTTTTTTCTAATTGATTTCCAATTGATTGATAATTGATTTCCATAATTAATTTCTAAATTAATTTCTAAATTAATTTCTAAATTGAATTGAATTTTTAATTGACTTTCAAATTAAATTGATTTCTAAATTAAATTTCTAATTATTTCCAAATGATTTTCAATTTAATTTTCGATTGATTTTTTTTTTAATTGATTTGATGAATAAAGATTAATTACCGCGTTAAAAAATAAGTAAAGTTGCCAAAGATGAAACACAATAAAAAT